CCCCCCCACCTCACACCGACTTAATTACCTCTCCTCAAATAACCACACCTCACTTCATTCCATTCCATCTTTATCTACCCTTCCCTTTTCCCCCACCTCACCACCCTCCCAAGAATCGATAACAGAAAAGTGGAAAGACATGGAATAACATCAAGAAGCTAGCCCAGGATAGGGATAGAAAGGTAGAATGTGTTTGTTCGTGACCTGTACCCTGAACCAGGAGGACAAAGGCATGGTGATGACCACCCTACCCCTCCCCCCCAAACACACACTCTTTATTTCTTTGAGCACTGACCTCAGGGTCCGGCCATGTTGCCTCTGGGCAGGGGAGACAATCCGTGAAGTCATCCACCAGGATCTCATTGTTCCGACAACGGCGACACTCCCAGCAACACTCAGGGTACTTCTGAATCACAAACTCGCCTGTCATGGAGGAGAGAGCCAACATTTTCATGGTAAGGTAAGCAAGACATTAATTTTATGAGATACAGTGGAGTCCACCTAAAGTGAACTCGCTGTATTTGAACGATCAGTTAAAGTGAACAATATTCTGTTGTCCCGATTGAAACGCCATTTATTTAAGTAAAACGATAAAATGAACCGGTTTCACGGGGTAATCGGATAAAGTGAACGCTCACAATGAGTGAAAGCGAAAAACGGACCGATCGTGTCACTGTCGCCAGGCTGTGAAAATAAAATTCTTTACTTCGGGCATCGGCAGACAATCCCAGCTCGGCGTTGGCGACACCATTCTCAATCAGAAAGAAAGGGCTCTAATCTAGGCTCCCTGCTGTGTTGTCCCCCACCCCACCTCCACCCTAGACCCACCATTGCGGGTAGCTACTGTTCTAGGCGTTCATCCTACCAAAATGGTTAAACAGATCCCTGGATAAAGTGAACACTTTCTTCTAGTCCCAAAGAGTTCACTTTAAATGGATTCCACAGTAGTACTTAAAGAACATTAAACGCTGAAACCAAGAGGAGCCCGTAAGCGGCGCACATCTACAAATGGAAGAGGGGCTTTTAAGTGTTCGAAATATGGCAAGTTTTTCTTTTTGCCAGAATTGGTCTCATCTCCGCAGCAGAAGCCACAAGTAATCTTAATGTTTAACTTTTCTAATTCTTTTATTTAGCTGGACAAATTTTCTCTTGTGTGGATGCATTGGTCATTGTCAGACATTGACGGACGAGCTATTTTTATTATTATGATTCTTCTTCTTCTTCTTCTTCTTCTTCTTCTTCTTCTTCTTCTTCTTCTTCTTCTTCTTCTTCTTCTTCTTCTTCTTCTTCTTCTTCTTCTTCTTCT